TTGCCATAAAATTGGAGGAAAACATGACATAAAATTTGAGTTATTAAAAATTAAAAAATAAGAAAAAAAAACTAAGATACGATAATAAAATAAAAGAAATAAATAAATACTGACGGTCGACGACCATATAATGATAGAATAAGCTTGTCCTCTTTTCAAGCATTTCATTGGTTTAGGTAGGGAATAAGGAGTAAGATAGATATTTCAAAGTTCGAGCATTTTAACTCCTACATGTAGCATTTCTGTTGTTTTGTTTTCGCATATATATAGGGGGTGGATAGTCGGCAGAGTTTGGATTGATTCAAAGATGAATGTACGTGTCTTGTGAACGCCATCGAGGGTTGTCCCTACGACCTAGTCGATGATGTGGGTGAGTCTTCTATGACCCGATGTTATTTCAATTAGTAATACATTTTTTCCTTCTAGAGCGTCTGAGATCGACCGTGTACATCCGCTATGGCCCATAGTTTCGATTCTCAACCTGAAGAACCTTCTTGTGGCAAAGATCTAATTCAATGTGTGCTTATGTTTGATTAGATATTTGAGATTAAGGCTGACTTGTTGGGCAAACGTCCCTATCAAGTGCCGCACAAGTTAGTAACCAACCAACTAGGTTAAGTCCGTGATACTTAGCATACTAAGATTGGTGTTGTCGCCGATCACAAAAATGAACAAGTAAAGAAACTAACAGCAGCACAAGCGAAAAGGAAAAGAGAGAAAATTAAAGCTAAAAATCCTAAGAGCAAAATAACACCGGTCATGTAATGATTTAGGTAACTCTTGAAAATTCAATTTCAAAACTTAAATCTAAATTCTAAAGATAATATAAAGTAAATAATGAAATACTTACAAGGTAATATTCATTTGAATTTGATAAATTCATGGATTTGTTAGATGTTTATTTGAACATGATAAATTCATGTTTTTATATATGTCAACTATATGTTGTTTGAATCTTAACTATTTATATACGATGCATTCTTATCATTTATATAGCAAATGTAATTTAAATCCAGATTTTGAAATCAAAATTGTCAAGAGATAGCATTACGAAACTCGAACTTGAGATATCATGTATTTGACTCAATAGGGTTTGTTATACTTGCCTTCATATATTTTTTAGAAACACCACATCATCTTATTCTTATGTCGTATAATTTTCAAAAACATTTTTTACACGAATCAAGTAACTTTGGGGGTAAAGAAATTATTATTTTCCTTCAGGTCTCGAGTTCGAGCATCATGAATACCAAGAGTGTGAGTGTTTAATATTAAATGATTGAGAGTTATCTTTAAATAATATTACTTTGTACTCAAACCAAATTAATAAAAAAGTATTATTTATGTCGACAGTAATATTGTCAGATGCATGCCTTTGAAAACACTGTTTATTTCCTTGATTAGCGTTGTAACACTTAAAATTTCTAAGTAAACGCATGTTAATTGACCCAAAGAGTCTATGGTCCCACGTTGAATAAAAAAAAATTCTGAACAAATATTATTAAAAGAGAAGTTAAAGCATGAAACAAACCTATCTTAACTCGAAATAACACAGCTGTTTAGTTGCCAAAAATGGAAGAAAGAGTGACTTATGAACAGTGTAGATTCTGAATAAAGTCCATTACTTTTTAGCTTCAGGTATTCAAGGAAGATAGATTACTCTGGTGACCTTTTGTTTGAGAATAGAGTATCTTCTACCTTGTCTTTTATGTTGTTCGTCACTCTACGCATGTCCTTAGCTACCTTGGAGCCGATGAGGTTTGCAATCCTTATAAACCTGCATTTACAATTCAACAATTAGATCATCATCAAGAACCAAATACACACGTCAAAATCTTCTTCTTGCCTGTTCAAAAAGTCATCTTGTACAGATTGACGAGTGGGTTTTCCAGTTTGATACTGACGAACATCACCATCTTCAGAGGAAAATGAAAAAGCCAAAAGTTAATAGATGAGAAATAAGTAAACAATTAAGAAGTGAAGTTTGGAAGGTTAAATGGTTCTTGACCCTTAATCTTCTGCATCGGTTTCATGAAATCAGAAGCAGTAACAGGATCAGGGGGAGGAACTAAGTGCTGCAGATACTGAAGCCAATACTATGTCAGCTTGTGCTAATCATAAAACAAATTGAATAAACAAGATTATCAGAAGTGCCCAAAAATTGATTAATTGTAACAAAAGATTGTTGTTTTAAATCAAAACTAGATATACTCGGATGCATAAACAAAAAGGGCTTGAGGATGAATAAGTGAAAATTTGATTGAAAGAGAATGAAAGATACCGCTAGGCCTTGACAAGGAGGCAATTGAGGTTTGGTACCCTCTTTATGAACTGAATCTTCGTTTTTGCTAATAAACAGAGTATCCAGCACAAGCAAATTTTAAATCTTCATCAGCAGTCGGGTTTTTTTTAGCTTTTGTCTCAGCTAATTCAACATTGTTGCTTCTTACGGCTAAAAGAAAAAGGACGGACGGACGTAATACATTGTTCGACAATAAAAAGGGTAAACTATTGAAATGGTCACTTTCGTTTCATAAGTGTTTACTTTTGGTCACCGAATTTAACGAAGTAATATTTTTGTCACTTGCGTCATCGTTTTATAATGCTTTGGTCATTATGACGTTAAAATTTAGATAAAATATCAACTTGACCGCTGAACTTTAGATAAAATATCAAATTAACCTCTGAATCCGACCAAAATCTCTCGTCGTCGGCTGTCGCTCACCACTGTCACTGATCATTGCCTGTTGCCATCGTCCTTCGTCAATCTCTTCATTCTTTTAACACAATGCGGAAGGTGATGAAACCACATGTAATACTAAATCTAATATGGTTATATCTGGTATACTATAATCATGCCTTTTAATCATGTTTGATCAATGGACTGATGGCTTGAAATGTATTGTAGGATAAAACTGATTTCGAGTTAGTTACATTCCCAGCTCTTGTGCCTGTCCTGAGAACTGTCGCAGGAAAGACCTTGCTGTTGCTGGTGAAGCATGCAGATCTTATTATTAACAAGGTAACTAGAGTAGTTTGCTTCTACCAAGGGTTAAGAGATGTTTTTTTTTTCCGTATCTTTTATTATAATCAGAAAAAAAGAGCAGTGTAGTTTTGTTTGTGAATATGAACAAGTTTTTATCTAGTAAAATATTACATGATATTGATGAAGAAGTAGATTTATGTGGTTTGGAACAATATTAACGTTCTACTATTATGATCATTTTTCGGTGTACATTTCTTTTTTAGTTCATTGAAGTCATTTAATTGAGTGGCATAGGCCTCAAAGTTTTAGTCAATCTCTGTTTTATTTGAGCTAGGTTATATTTTATCTAACACCTATGGATTAAATAAGTATTTTATCTAAAATTCAAAGGTCAAACTAAAAATTAAACTAGCGAGTCACATTATCAAACTACCAATACTTAACTTCTCAGTGATCTAATTGATATAAAACGATAAGTGATCTAAACAATACTTTTTAAAATTAATGATCAAAAGTGAATACTTATAAAACAAAATTGACCATTTGTCTAATTTACCCTAATAAAAATTGGGTCTTAGAGTTTGATCAGCACATCATTAGAACAATAAATGAAGATTACCGGATCAAAGCAATGCATATATAACAATGGAAAATAATAAGGGGGGGGGGGAGGGAGAGAACGAGGAATGCCGATGCAAAAAGGATCGCGATTGTGGGATTTGAGAGCGGAAGAATAATAAAGAAATCATTTGCATGATTTTACTTTATTTTCAAGATTTTGTTGCTTCTCCTTTTCTCTGCTTCTCTCCATGTTTTTTTCTTCTTTCACTCCAATTGGAATCGCTCAGCCTTTTCTCTTTTTACTGGAGAAGAAGATTCAGCGTAATGCAAAACAGAGCAGAGAGAAAATGGCACAACGCAATGCAACCTCGTTATGTAAAGAATGGAAATAGGATAAAAATGGAGGCATGGGTTAATCATTAATAAACTTCCGTGTTTATCGGTTTCAAACCCAAACCCCCAACTTCAACGTGCTTAATTCCTATCACACAAATTAATTTTATTTATTTATGAAAAAATCAACTCAATTCCATTTTTTTTAATTTTAGGGTAAATTATATCTATAACCACTTAACTATTTACCCTTTCCATTTTGATCACCGATCTTTTAACTTTTTTCAACCAAATAAATTAGCTGACCCTTATTCCCATATGTATTGGGGTAAGGGGGAGGTAGGATAGTAGGTTGCCCCCAACGTCAGGTTGAGAGCAACTTCCGTAGGAGACCTTATGAAATACCCTCCGTGAGACTCAATCTCACGACCCCAAGATTAAGGGCCTTGTGCTCTATTAACTGAACTAGATGGTCATTTCACTACTTCCATTTTTAATTTTAGGGTAAATCTTCTTAATCCATCCATACCCTAACCAGAAAATAACCTAAACCTTCTTGAATTCGTCCTTACTTGAACCCTGAAAGTGACCTAAACCCACAGTGACAAAAACATAAAATGATCTAAATTCAAAATAAATCAAAATCTTTAAAAACTCGAAATCTGATCGAAAATGTACCTATCTGTCCAATTGATAGGTCTAATTTATATATTAGAAGCATCTTTGTATTTACCTCTAAAATCAATCAAATTAAGAGAAAGATTAAAACTTTTTAAACCAACATTCAATATTTATGAGAAGCTCGAAAAAGAAAATAGATACAAACTAAATTTAATAACATAGGTTAAATATGGAAATAAAATTGACCTGGTATAAATATAAACAATGACCAAAATTAAAAGATAATGTAATATAGTATGAACATTCAGTCTTGAATTTATTAAACCAACCGGCATAATAAACTATCAATATTCTTCTTGCCTGCAAGCAAGAGCTTCTTTGGGTATATACAGGAACATATAGCAAGTATGAACCACAGAGGCAGTTGCCTCACCCTGCTGCTATAGAGTTCAGACTTCAACGTTCCATTCGACATTCAACGAACGAAAGAAATTAAGCTAAATGTAATCAGATGGAATTGAAGAAACGAAAGTTGAGTAGTATTGTGGTTCCTGTTAATTGCTCCTGAAAATGGGATAGTAAGTTTCAAGTTCAAGCCGGTCCAAAATCTTCCACGTAGCCCATAGATAGGAAGAGTGGCCCTCAATCACATCTGTTACGTTAATCTGAAGAGAATCTAAGGAGTTAGTGCTTAGTAAATCACGGTAGCAAGGTGGAAGAAAATATAACTGGCATAACTTACATTCTCAATCCCCTGCACATCAACCGTTTGTATTCCAGCTAATCCTTGTGTAAGTAAACTGTTTTCAAGTTACAATTAGCTTGCATCAGTAAGGTTGTTGTTCAATCGGAATTTTGCTTCAAAGGTGATGAACAAAATGACTTCTTTAGGATGTAAAAAGATACACAATCCTCGGATGAGGCCATGCATCAAGAGGGATGGATAGACGATATTACAAAAAATATATAAACACATGCATTGCACCAAAATTTCAAGAATCCACCTTCCTTCGATAAGATAGAGGAACGGGAAGCACGTATCTGTTCGACAATGTGGACCCAACAGACTATCCAGTAAACATTTATATTAACATTAAAACAATTTCTATAATTTTACTAGATGACATTTAAGGCCATAAGTTATCAGGTGTACATTTAATATAGCAACAGTTCCAAATCATCTCAAAGTTGTCCATCTGGCATACCTTGCACGGAAAGCAATTCCAAGCATCCAATCATTCGAAGAGTAAGCATTTATAAACCTGCCAGCCACCATCTGCAAAGACCCTAGATATTAATCAGTATGTTCTAGTAATGAAAAGCACATCCAATTGTAAATGGAAAAAATACCTTTCTCGCTGCTTCCCAATTCTCGCCTTTAATTGCAATGGGAGCTCCAAGAAGAACAACCCTTTCTACAAGTTCAGCTGCCAAACATAGTAGAATAGCCTTAGGATATTCCAACCACCACAGCAAATCAGAAAGCTCATGAGAATAAATTGGTCATAGTTACCGCTTTGTTCAGTCTCAGACAAAGTCTGAAGACACTTGAAAATCACACGTGCTCCAAGTGAGTAGCCAATGAGTGTCACAGGTCTGAAAAGTTTATAGAGTCCCAAGGATGAACCATGGAAAGATTATTTTGCGAATGTTTTAATGTATAATAAACATTCCCCTAAATGCTACATGTATACCTGTTACCTTGGTAACCTTTCAATAAAACTTCAGCTAGCAACTTTCCTGCTTTATCCGACCTTGAAAATAGAAGATAAAGACATAGTTAAGACTTGTAAGGTGTACTACAACAGTTCTCAATTTTTCAAATAAGAATTAAATTCTAAACTCTGGAAATCCAGTATCAGCAACATCCAGCACATACAATTAAAGCAGCCTGCTTCTAGGGATTTGAATTTGTAGACAAATTCAGGTTCATAAAGATAAAACCATTGTGACAGTTCATGGAAAGAAACTTTTAGTCAAATCAGGTGATATGAACATTTCTCTGCAGCATTATCCACCTTGATATTTTGTTCGAGACACATGAAAGTTAAAGCCTTTCCCTCCTAAGATCCAGATATCAGAGTTTTACAAAAACCTAAAGCATTCAATGTGAAACCACGAACTACTAATATTTACACACTATGGTTGAAAAAACACTTCAATTTTCTCTGTTTTACTTAAATATGCAAGTTTTTCCTCACCCTCAAGTTGTTGCCTGGTTCACTTTCAATTATTCTCAAGGGTACCCTAGCAGCCAATTCTGATGAAGAGCCGCATTAATAACTAGCTATACATCTAGTACTTGCAAAACTTTATGCAAAGAATGATCCTCATAAGAGCCACAGCAAGATAGGCATCGTAAATACAGCATGGTGTGAAACAATAAAATGAAACTGGAAGACAGTTCTTCCCTTTTTCAAAGCCAGGTACTCTGCGAAAACTAAGCAAATCAAACCTGTCCACAGCAATTGACATTTTGCTGTCTATAAAGCTGGTAGCTGAAAGTAATACTGCTGGCAATGCCAATGCTGCTACAAGTGAGCTTAAAACTGTCATCATTGCACCCTGTCTCATTAACTCATAACCAATACCTGCACAACAAGAAGCAATCTCAAATATAGACAATTCTCATAATCAAAAGTCCGTTTTAAAAATCAGACATAAACCCATTACTTGAAGTTAGGTAATCCTGAATTACTGTGCTCACTGCAATCAGATTATTGGACTCCCACAGTAGTGCAAACCTATAATTTTCATTTGTCAGAAACAATGTTCTTTTCTTTCCTTTATATCTATAAAAGTGGTTTAAAAAGAAAAACAGAGGTTTCCCATACAATGGGTATGGAATAAAATTTTTATACCTTTCCATGTTGTCAATTTTTCCTTCCCAGGGCCTAGTATAATCATCCTTATTAAAAACAAATCCGGAGATCAAAATCTCAACTGCTAGTCGCTGAAATAAAAGGTTAAATAGAACATTAATAAGATCCAGACACCATAGTTTTCTATGCCACCAGAACAAAAAAAAAATTCTATAAGAACTCACGCCCTGGTTATGATAGTCTCCAATAGCTATAAATTCAAATTCATCAACGTTACCAGTTCTCCTAGCCATTTTAGAACCTGTAAGTCCAGCTCCGGCAGCTGGGTAGAACAGAGTGAAAATAAATCTTAATCAGGTATAAAAAGAACATCTTCATATCACTATGTACCAACCGTAACTCGTATTCACCAAATATTAGCTTAAAATTTCTGAAATCAAACTAAAAGTATAACTAATGATTTCTGCAGTAAGGAAAATCGACATGACAAGAATGGGTGACTCAGAAGATTCATGACTAGTCATTCACCTCCAAATGATGCAGCAACAGCAACAGAACCTGCAACAGTTCCAGCAGCACTTGCAGCAGCAGCAAACCCACTTGCCCCAATGACAGGGACTAATGTGCCTAATGTTGGAGCCAGGGCACCAAATCCAGCAGCAATTGCTGGGGCAGCTAACCCTGTTTAATAGTAAAAGTGTGATCCAAAAAGGTCAAAAACAATGAAGTCAAGACGGTTGAAACTAATGGCCGGATCAAAGGGTTTTGACAATCACATACCTCCAGTAATGGCCATCAATGCTCCTCCAGTTAAAGCAGCAGCACCAATGATGCCACGGCGCTTCCATTCCGCCCATTTGCCTCTTTGTGACTGGGATTCTTCTTCTTCTGCTTCTTTCTCTTTCGCTATAGCCATTGCAGAATAAGCAACCATCATCTCAATTCCTTCCTGCAAGCACAAAGGTCCACTAATAGGGAGAATATATAAAAAAAATCTCTAAATAGTTAAACTGGAAGGAGCTAGGTTCTTGACAAAACACCAAGCTCCATGCCCAAACACTGCTAGTATATTAGTGAGGTCCCAGAGATATTCTCTGACAATCGAGAACATTCCGTAAAAGGAATTTTAAGGGTCATATTAACGGTACAAGTTTAGATACGTATCATATCTGGTAGGTACTCAATGGTACATAAAAATTGACATCAATTCATATCTATTCAGCTATTTCTGTTACTAAAATAACATTGTTTACTGCAAGCCCTAAGAAGGAAAGATGGAAAGGGACAAAAGGTTGCATTTACAAACCATTTTTATCCACTCAATGTCAAACCAAGTTGTCAGCAACCGGAGAGCCACACGATGTCGAGCATCATAGCCCTTTCTTCGCCGGGTATATTTTTTGCTATCTTCACGAGTCTCTGCAGCTGCAAGGGAAGCTGAAAGAAGCTCGTAAAGAACCATAACTTTCCTATGAAAAGTAAGCATCTCAACCTCTTCAGCAGGTTTCTCATTCAAACTATCACCCATCAGATTATGATCATCATTCCCATGAATCACATTAGTATCACTCTCCTGCAGAGGCTCTATAGGTTGGTTTGCCACTACAGAATTTGATGGAACCTCAGGAGTAGAATATTTCTCACGATATTCCTGTTCATATTCACGAGACTTCTCCTTTTTAACCTGGGAGGATACAGAATTTGTTTCCATGCTCAATACCATACTATCAACAGCTTTTGACAGAGCAATCTGCTGCTCCAATCTTTCAGAAGAACCCTCCTCACCGTCTTCAGCTAGTAACCTCAAGAACTGTAAGAAAAGGAAACAACAAAAACATGCTTATAATATGAACAAAAAAAAATCATTGAAACATTGCTCACATTGCTTCTACAAATGATCATAAACATTATCATGAGAGAAAGGGAAACAACATACAGCTCTCAGATGATGTTTGGCCGGAGAACACCCAGCAGTTTCTTCTAGTCCAAGCCATGCTGATGAATCAATATCTAGAGATCTGAATCATGTGAAAACGAACAAATTCTTCAGAAAAAGGATGAATTTCTTAAATTTTCTGAAATTTGTAATGTCCAGAGAAAAACTCGAGATCCTAAAAGTGATGATGTCCGAATTCAAGTATTTCAGAATAGAAAAAAGGAAACTCGGGAGGATCACAATCCTTTTGATGAATTCAAATTAGGGTATCAAAAAGAAAAAGAAGAATGAGGTTGAAAACCTGAAAATGGGTCGGAGCAAACCCGAGTTTTCGTTGACCCAAAGGTCGGGATCTTCAGAGACTGAGTCGCTGCTACTACTGCTACTTGTTCGGTCCCCATAGGAAGGGTCGTCATCCTTAGGGTGAAGTCCAAGAAGACGAGTCTGATGGATCTGAGCCTGGTTAACAGCGATGGCAAACAACGCTCCCGCCGCGTACCTCTGCGTCGCCGTCAAAAACGACTTCCTTTCTCCCGCCATGCCTCGCAATTCGTTTCAACTGGTTTGAACTTATAAAGCAATTTCACGATCTTCCGCGGTCAATCTCTTGTTTGCAATAAGAAAACTTCCAAATTTTCATTTTCCATTTTTGAGGCTTTGAAAATTTTCTGTCTTGGTTGCTCTTTAACTTAATAAAAATGTAATTAAATGAATTAATCATCATTTTATTGAGTAACCAACACATATGGTCACCCTATTATTATTATTATTATTATTATTATTATTATTATTATTATTATTATTATTATTATTATTATTATTATTATTATATTTTTTTCAAACCACTTTTCTAGTATTGTTATCTTTAATGTTATGGTTTTATTTTTATTTTGAGCATGAACATTAAATTTTGTTAAGTTTACAAAGAATGGTAGCGTGTTTTTAAGTTAAATTTATTGAATTATATAAAATTAGAATGACTATTAAATTAAAATGAATGTAAACTTTTAGAGTTAAATTTATTGAATTAAGACTAAATTGATAGAATATAAGAAAGCATGCATGCTTATTACATAAATAATTTAGATATATGTTACAAAATAAATAATGCCATTACATTTATAAAGCTTATTTTTTAAGGGCGTCAAATTTAATGTCTCATCCAAATATAAAAGATGATATTTTATTTTATAAAATAAAAATTAATGATGGATGGATTTTTTTTTTTACAATTTTTAGTAGTCCCCATTATTCTTTTTCTATATTGCAGTGATTCAACCAGTGATTAATATATGTAAAAACTAAAAAGAAATTATCTGATTTTATTGTACAAAAAAAAAGGAGCTTTGTTTATAATGACATCGAAAATTCTTATCTTTGATCTTAAAAAGAAGAAAAATGCAAGGGTTAGAAGTTGATGCATTATACTATTTCATTCTAGATCTTAAGTAATTTATAATTCATGTCGTCAATCCGTTGTAGTTTAGTTGGTCAGGATATTTGGCTCTTACCCGAAAGACCCGGGTTCAAATCTCGGCAACGGAATTTTTATATTTTAGTTTTTTATCAATCAAATAGGAGGCAGGTCTAAATATAAATTGTCCCAAGTGATGAAACACTTTTTTCCTGTTTTTATCGTCTATCATAAACATCATCGTAAATTACATGCACTTGAAATTTAACCTTAAGGGGTGATTAGATAATGGAATTCAAGATTTCTGGTGGGATTTTTTTTTTCAGATTCAAATTCTCATGTTTAGATGAGAAATATTTTTAATAGGGAGTAATAATATATTTTCAACAGTAAAATTTTTTTTCTTTTTACCAGAAATATTAATCTCTTGCTTTTCTTATGTATTCTTTTATTCGCGTGTGCTAAGAACTAAAATACATATATTTTTCCGTTTGCCTATGCGATATCTTCTTCTCCCCCTTGAGAGCATGCCTCCCTCTGCGAAAAATTCATCATTCTCCTGGCAAGATTTCTTCTCATCTCCCTTTCTTTACAATGTTTTATTTGTTTAATTTTTTCAAAAAAATTAGTGTAGTCGATTTAAGTTAACCTCAAGCAATAGTTTCCTGTTTTGCTTGGATCTATTATGCCATTTTTTCATAGTTGATTCAATTAGACTCTTAGGCTTAGTTTTTTTTCACTGTGCAACCTCTTTAAACCTCTTATGTCTGCGTCGCGCAGACCACGCGCAGACGTTAGGCTTCGCAGACCGTTTGTATTTAGAAGACAGAAGCTCTTCTAAAGTCTGCGCGAGCTCTTCTTAGTGCAGATATGGTTTTATGCCTTCAAACCTCTTCAAGAATAATTATAAAATATGGTTATTTATTAAAATAATTTTAAATAATTTAATAAGGTTATTTATTTTAAAATAATTTATTTTAAAATAATTTATTTTAAAATAATTTATTATAAAATAATTTATTATAAAATAATTTATTATAAAATAACTTATTATAAAATAATTTATTTTTAAATAATTTATTATAAAATATGAATTGATTTATTTTAAAATAATTTATTTTAAATAATTTATTAGTATGGATTGATTTATTTTAAAATATGGATTAATTTATTTTTAAATAATTTATTAGCATGAATTGATTTATTTTAAATAATTTATTAGTATGGATTGATTTATTTTAAAATATGAATTGATTTATTATTGTAGTTGTATGGATTGATTTATTTTAAATAATTTATTAGTATGGATTGATTTATTTTAAAATATGGATTGATATTATTGTGTTGTTTGATTTATTTTAAAATATGGATTGATTTATTTTAAACAATTTATTAGTATGGATTGATTTATTTTAAATAATTTATTAGTATAGATTTATTTATTTTAAAATATAGATTGATTTATTATTGTAGTTGTATAGATTGATTTATTTTAAATAATCTATTAGTATGGATTGATTTATTTTAAAATATGAATTGATTTATTTTAAATAATTTATTAGTATTGATTGATTTATTTTAAAATATCGATTGATTTATTTTAAATAATTTATTAGTATATATTGATTTATTTTAAATAATTTATTAGTATATATTGATTTATTTTAAAATATGGATTGATTTATTATTGTAGTTATAATTGATTTATTTTAATCTCTATTAGTAGGATTGATTTATTTTAAAATATGAATTGATTTATTTAAATAATTTATTAGTATGGATTGATTTATTTTAAAAATTGGATGATTTTTTAAATAATTTATTAGTATGGATTGATTTATTTTAAATAATTTATTTAGTATACTGATTATATTTAAAATATGAATTGATTTATTATTGTAGTTGTATAGATTGATTTATTTTAAATAATCTATTAGTATGGATTGATTTATTTTAAAATATGAATTGATTTATTTTAAATAATTTATTAGTATGGATTGATTTATTTTAAAATATCTATTGATTATTTTAAAAATAATTATTAGTATGGATGATTTATTTTAAAATATGGATTGATTATTTGTAGTTGTTATAGATTGATTTATTTAAATAATCTATTAGTATGGATTGATTTATTTTAAATATGAATTGATTTATTTTAATAATTTTTAGTATGGATTGATTTATTTTAAAATATGAATTGATTTATTATTATGATTATATAAATTGTTTTATTTTAAAATATAAATTAATTTATTTAAAATAATTTATTATTGAAGTTGTATGAATTATTTTAAAATTAAAATTATTTAAATTTCAGTATTATAAAATTCTTTTAAATTTAAAAAATCAATTTATTTATCTTTCAGTTTATGTTAGCAGTCTGCATACTTTAAATAACACACAATCTTCTTATTATAGACTATATATTTTTAATACACCTCTCCTACTACAAATACTTACATATATAATCTACATAATACAAAACTTTTACCCATACAAAAACGAACACCACCTTAACCTTGTCAAACTTCTCCCCCCCTCCTATTTTTCCATCACCTTCCCCAGAAAACCGTCAAAACTCCACTGACCCATGCCCTCCTCTACCTTGGGCTCGCCGACGAGCTCTCGGTCTGTACCCCAGACCGTCAATGGCTCCCACCACTTCACAATCAAGGGCTATTCCTTAGACAAAGGCATGGGTGGATCGATCTCTTATCGTTCTTAGTTTTAATCGATATTTGTATTTTTTAACGGGAAACTTTACAGTTATACCGGCACAGGTAAGTTCGTCTTCTCTTCTGTAAGTCACATATATATTTTAAATATTTTTCGAGAATCATTCAAAACAATAGTCGTTGAACTCTGATCTCTGTATTTTTCGTTATTCTTTTTTTCCACTTCAATTAGGGTGGATCGATCTGTTGTTCTTTCTGGCATTAATGCTAATTTGTTAATTTAAATGCCTGTTGATCGGTTCGTCAATGTTAGAAGGGATCCTGTTTTTTCTTCATCAAATGCTATGCTGTTAATCGGTATTTGTATTTTTGAATGTGTACGCACTTCATGACCTAGATCCGCTGCTTCTTGTTACATTTTTACTCTTTGATCAAGTTTGAATTGGTTGTATCTTGGTGATTCGTGTTAGTTTGACTCAGCAGTTATCTACTGTGTGAGTTTTAACTAGCAAGATCGGAAAATTATGTTCTGTGCGTAAGAATCTCATGTATTAAATTGAAAGTGAAACTTAGGGATGGGAGGAACTATATATAGTTCTTTTGGGCTTAGTTCATAAATAATTTTGTCATTATTTATTTGCTTTATGCTAAAAAGAGTAATTTCTCGTTTGTTCGATAGCGTTGCACATTTATTATAAACTGTTCTGGTCTTGCTGAAGCCTTTTCATTATGATGTGTGGGATCTAAGTGAAAAGTTGTGCATGGGTATTGATTACCTTAAGCCGGTTATACTTTTAATACTGAAAGCTTTCTACTGAGAAGGATATAGGTTAATTAAGAATAAGACAAAAGAAAACATATGCACATGGTAGAAGTTCAGTCTGTTTTGTACAAAATAAATGCAAGTGATTGAATTTCATTATCATATTTGCTATGTATTTTTGAGGCTTCTGTAATGATATACATTCTACCTTTTTAATATGCTGCAACCTGCCATGTGGGGATTTGATTACCAAATAACTTAAGGTGGTTTATACTGTAATGATGCATGTTCTACTTTCTGTAAAATATTAGCCAAGACAATGAAAATAGATCAGTGTGAAGAGGCTGTCTGAAGAAGAATCTGCAAAGTTCAAGGGTAATTCTTTTGCAGTTATGATATTTATGCTTATATAGTGTAAGATGCAAAAAGTATATATATGTATATGCTTAGTTTAAAAAAGCGCCGCTTAAACGCGATTAAAGCGCTAAGCGACTCGAACGAGGCCCCTGGCGCTTCAGCATAGCAAAAGCACTACGAATTCATTAAGCGGTAGTAATCGACGCTTTTAGCAAAGCGCTAATCGGCGCTTAATCGCGAGTTTAGAAGATATGATTCTGGGCTTTAGCATATACGATTTTTGGGCTTATTTAGGGTTTAGTGGGCTATTAAATTATCAGTTTTGGTTTTTTTTTCTTGTAGCTTCACACTAAGAAACGAAATAGATTGGCACAATCTAGATTGAATGACATGGTGTTTGTGAAATTCAATCATGCCTTGGAGCGCCGAGCTAAAAGTAAGGAGACCGATCCCATTCTTTTG